AACTTCTGTGGGGAGGTGAGGTGGGTTGTCTTGATGTTACGAGAAGGATACAATGTGAGGGTTTTTAGCTGGTGACTTATAATTCAAAAGATAGGTTGTGTGTTAGACCACCGATTACCCGATGTATCGAGTGCGAGGTACTGTAAGGGCGATTATCGTGGGTCTAGGTGTGATTTTCCTTTGCCATTGACGAAAATTCAAACCTCTGTGTACTCCCTCTCAGGAGCCGCGGTCTAATCATGTTTTTCTGTCATTTTCCTGATTGGGCTTTCTCCCCTTCATTCCATGTATTTGACCAGGTGGGTTCCTTTTCTGGCTCAATTATTGCTTCTTCTCTCCCTCCGTCTCTTGGGTTAGGCTCTGCCAGTTTCCTTCCAGTACCAAGTTTGCTGGGGGGTAGAACGCTGAATTTTCGAACACACAAATTCTTTTTTCTGATCTTTTTGAAAGGGAGTCAGTCTGATCTTTCATTCCATGGAATGCGTCCTCTTCCCTTTCACTGTCTGAGTCAGAGTTTAACACCTGATTATTCTTTGAGATGTCTTATGAGATGCCCCTGGAGGAAGGCGGTTTCTGTGTGGGGGAAGTTCAATATAGCAGACTTCCTCCTTATAACCCTCTTCCCACCCTTCCTCCCTTGTTCCATCTTTAACATCTGCCCATTCCTCGTGGATTTGTTCCAGTGGTTTGTTCAGATCTATTAGCCTCTGCTTACCCTCTCTCTTCACTTCCCCTTCTTCTTTCCCTATTTTTCATCATCCACCTTCTCCTCCTCCGATATCTCTATCCATATTTCTTCTTTCTCATCCTTGTCCACTTGCTCTTCTCTTTCTGTTCCCTCCTTCTAGTATCCTTTCTCTTCCGTCTCCTGGGTATAACCGCTTTTATGTGGGCTACTTCCCTTGTATTCCATCTCCATTTTGTCATTTGAGGTTAAAACCGCTTCCTCGTTTTCATTCTCGTTCGACCTTTTCTCGTTTAGCTTTCCCTTCCTATTCTTTTTAGAAGAGGTTGTCTTTCTGACCTTCCCTCACTGGTGTCTTTTCTGCTGGAGGTTTGGGGAGCATATACCTTCGCTGATCCACCTCGTCCGCCCTGAATTTTTCTACTTCCTTTTCATTCTTCGAGGTTTGTCCTGCCTTCTCCTTCACTTTCCCTTCCTTCCTTTTCGGTTTTCGCTTTCTCCTAACTTTTTCTTTTTGCAGCCTCTTACCCTTTTCCTTCTCTTTTCCAGGTCCCCTTTCCTTCCGCCCGGTTTTCCCACCCAGAGATTCGTCCTTGTTATTCTAGTTCTTACCCCCCCCACCTTTCAGCTCCTTTTTTGTACTCATTTGTTGTTCCCCTTTCCCTTCTCCTTGTTTTTCATTCTCTTCTTCGTCCCCTGGCTTCTGTTAGTTCTTTTTTCGACCGTCACCATCTTTCGTTTTGCAACAAGCTTCACACCATGAGGTGGACGCACACACCATATCTATCTGAAACCATCCCTCCTCTAATAAGTCTATAAGTAAGGAATCCTTAAATCTTCACTTCGTCGATGATATCAAGTCAAACCTTATGTCCTTTAGCTTGGGGGAATCCGGGGTGCTGAAGGTGGGGTAGGACTTGAGGATAGAACCAAATGCATTTTTCATGGTCGTTTCAATAAGCGTCATGACCGTCACTGGGGGCATGAATGTTTCGCGGTTTTCGCCCCCAAAAAAGAAAAATTAAAAAATCCAACAACTTAAAGGCTAAGAGGTCGGACTGCCCAGTTTTGTCCTGGAAAGGAGAATAAACAATGTATTTAAGGGATGTTGGACCCGTTTTCCAGCAGGTGTTGCTCCCCACCAATAGATGTAGTTTGTGGTTTTCGTAATAAAAAAAAAAAAAAAAAAAAAAGGTTGAACTGCAGAGGTTTACGGGACTTGAAGATATCTAATCCAGAAATACGAAAGGCGCATTGCATCCCGCCATTCCGTCAATTGTTTCTCTGTCATCCACGGGCAAAAGCATTCTGTATATTTTTTGTTGTCTAATACCAGGTTGACTTCAGCTTTCGCTTTCATCCAAGTTGCAATTTCAGGTGCAGTAGCTATATAGGTGACGAGGTTTTTTGCCTCGTTGTGGAATAAACCCCTTTTAGGCTGAATGTTAAGGGTCTTACCGTTGCTCAGCCATCCTCGTAGATTCGTATCGACTTTTTCTTTACATCGATGAGGAGAGATGTCGAATCATTCCAAAGAAGACCGTCACTGCGTGCTCCTGTAATCATTGCACCTGGGCTTTGTATATTTATGGATTAATAATGACTCGTACATAATCCGTCATAATTTCCACTTGGTTAGGCGCTAACTCATTAGGAAGAATCCTCGTAATGTAGCATTTGCCCAACATATCCCTTATCCTAGTTTTATCATCCTCTGTTAGTACCGGAGGTTGAATGAATGTTGGAGGGGGAGCGGGGGGGGGAAGATGATGGCGAAGCCTCGTTTCCATTTCCCATGCTTCTCATCCTACCTTTTTTTCATGATATTCGTTCACTCTCCGGTTAAACCACCAGTACTTGGCCCATACATCGGCCGCGGGCCGTTGCCCCACAACTTCCGGAGGCTCGGGTACCGCCCTTAAAGGTTGGCGCCACCAGCCAAAACAATTTTTTTTGTTGCGCTCGGTACGAAACGGCGCGCAGCCCGTTTTCGGCATCGATAGTTGGGCCAAGTCCTGGTGGTTTAAACCACTAGTACTTAGCCCAACTATCGACCGTGGGGAAAAATAGAATAGAAACGTTTCTAGTCGGATGAATTTGGACGCTCATGTGTAGTCCGTACTTTTCCTAATATTGTGGCGCGTTAACGGGCAAGACTCTAGGGAGTACTGGTAAAAACACATTCAAACCAGTCAATTACAATTGGGATAAATAATCAAACCACCCCCCAGGCTGTAGGTCAGCAAAGTTTATACCGACTATTTGATGACGTCTGTAGCATTTGGTCCTGCACTGACAGGCGAGAGCAACTTGTATCCTTCTCCCTTGGCTAAACAGGCCAATTATCCAAGTAGCCAGTTTACTTCCTTTGTACTGTAGTGGTTGTCCGGGGCTCGCTCGGGAGTGCGGCTGATAACCTAGCTTCTCGGTTTTCCACGGGAAGACTGCAAGCTTTCCTACGTGCAAGGTTATGGTAAACCTCGGTGTTACTGAAATCGACGAAGATTTACCTCGGTGATGGATCGCACTGCTTGAGGAAGGCGCCGTGTCATTTCACTTCCGAAAGGCCGCCGTCGTTCTCCACATAGCGCTACCAGGTCGCTGTCGTCGTCGCTGCCCCTACCCAGGGCCGCATTTTTTTCTGGTTTGCTTTTCCTCAACGAGTTCAGGCAGCATAGCTCAGCACGACAGTACATTGAAAACGACCGAAAGGGGAGCAGGAGGGGACGCATCCGACGACTCCGTTTTGCGCTCGCGGACTCACTTTGCCGGCCTGGCTCAGTCTAGCATTGCGGCCACCCGGCCTATCAAGTGTTACCGTGCCGCCATGACACGCAGTTACCATGATGAAAGCGGCTCGCTAGGGCTCACCCATAGCGACTTGACCTCTCACGGTATGCCCCTTTTTCACATGATGGTCATAGCTCTGCCTCGGGACAGTTGTTTACCACAGTAAGACTTGTGCACCGTCTGCAGATAGAAGTCTTAGAGAGACCTACTCCGGAGAACGAATGTCCTCGAGCATGCCTAGCAAAGCTCGGTGCAGCCGGTGGTATACTGATCGAAATCAGTACGGAGAAAGGGTAAGGACACCAAGACTCCCATCTATTTGTGAAGTTCACTGCGTGTGGCTTCATCCCCCTGTCATTCCCAAATACTGGTTACATAATGATGTCGCTCCTGGGTAGATTGATTCCGTAGACTTCTAAGTCTCCTTCCCATTAACATTTCACCGCCGTCCGTAGATGAGAGGAATAGTGTTGGGTGAACGATGGTCCCTGGTTTTCACGCGTGCTTGGATTCTGTCCATTTCCCATTATCCTTGGAGCCGGTAGGGCTACACGCCTTTAGTGAAAATCACTAGACCGGGTGGTCGATCTCTAGAGTAGCAGTCTCCTACTGTATACTACTCTCACCCGTGGATGCAAATCTAGTAACCCTCCCGATCGGACAATGTGGATGAATGCAGGTTATCACTCGGGGCAATTACGCGAAGAGAAGTGGCAGAACAAGCGGAAGTTGAGCGCCATCTCTCAAAGGCGGAACCCTCTACCCAAACGCCCTAACTAAATCTACCACCACTACCATCGCTCAGCCGCGTGGAAATAGATGTAGAGCACGTAAATTCAAGCCAGGTCAGCGGAACCTAGATTAAGGGCACGGATCTCCATAGACTAACACAGGGAACGCAAGCCATGAACGACTATGGCGGAAGCAGCAGTGGAACTGGAAAGGAAGAACCATGCCTCTGTGGGAGGGCGTTCCTCCCTAGGCGCTCGGATACCCCCAGATGACCCTTTCGACGAAAGGGTCAAACAACTGATGTCAATGTGCTATGATGAGGGCATTATGCCCGATGAAATTCCCTTCGATGATGTCACAATCGATGGTAATGAGGCTGTAGCGACTGTAGATGGGGATTTTGACGAGATTAAAATCCGATGGTTGATGGAAAGAACGGTGGTAATCTTGTTTAGAGAAGCAATGAGGGACTTACCGAGGAAAGTAAAGGAGGATCTCGTGCGTGCTTACGAAAATGGGTGGAGGAGGGATGACATCTTTAATCTCCCGGTCAATAGCGGTCGGGCTAAGTTCGAAGGACCAAACATGATTTCCTATGTGTCAAAAGATAAGGTAGTAGCTGAATGGATGGTAAATCAGGGCGAGGGTGTCGTTCAACTTAGAGGGAGAAGCTACTACTTCGAGACGAAACTCTAGATGACAAAATCGGACTGGAAGGAATTTCGCAGTGTGGAAGAGGAAATAACTTTTTGGGTTATGGGGTTGCAAGTGTCTCTTGAATCTTGATGCTTACTTCAAATCAGCATTGGCATATGTGATAGGCCCAGTCGCTCGGGATTCCCCTACGGACCCGAGACTGGCCAACATTAAATGTGAGATCGAGGTTAGTCGATCGGATCTGGGTGAGAACAAGGCAGGGGAACATGATAGAGGTCAAGTTAGTTTCATCGGCCACACCCTACTGCACGAAGTGTGAATGGTACAACCACACTTTGGATGAGTGCACCAGGAGGAACACCTGCCCCATGAATAGACGAGGTAATCAGGATGTGGACAGGGAAATTGGAGATCTGTTGGAAAATATGTCAATTCGGAACTTGGAATGAGCTGCGGAGAGGGAGGTCGAGACAAAGTCGAGGTTCACCCCGTTACCAGGAAGAGCTTCGACCCTCAGCAGACCGACCCGCAGCCTCCCGAAGTGGGGGCTCGTACCACTCACCACCCCCACAGGCAGAGCCAATACAGAGAATGTGCACTATGTCCAACCCTATCTTCTCGCCAGGAGTTGAGCGCAGAGCAGGTTATGGCGCTGATGCACACCCATCAGGAGATGCCCTCCTAACAACCGGCCTAGGGTCACACCCGACCGCCCACCCTGAACCGGGAGGATCGTACCGTCTCCCAAGACAACAATGGCCAAGATTGTTGCACGTGGCTACACTGCATCAGGAGGAGGAACCACTACCTCCAGGCACCGAATCTCCGCGGAGAGGAGGCCAGCCTCTGTATAGATACATACACTCAAAATTGCCAGCAAGCAGCAGGCGTCAGGCGATAGGCTCTAGGTTGGCAGAGGAAGAAACCTCTTCCTCTGCACTGGTCCCCTTCTCGAGAAGCACGAGAGGACAATCGTCGTTAAAAATAGCTAGAACAACCAGGAATGGTGCCTCCTCCAGCATGCAGGAGTTAGTGAGAGGGGAACAGCAGGCAGATGAGCTAACACGAGAAGTCTCTCGGACCTCAATTGGAAGCGCAGCAACCTCGCCAGCATCGGGATATATCGGGAATGGACAAGCTTTCCCTATGCCAAGATCTAAAACATCCCGAAGTAACGAATGGTAACATCGATACAGAAAGAGGCCGCAGGCCTGAAAAAGTGGCTAATACCTTTTATTTGTACATTGTCTGACAACAACATCCACATCATCACATGGCAAACTGAAGATGGAAAAGTTTGTTTCCCAGCAAGACCGGTAGAAGAACCTATCACCCCTCAAGTGATCCTCTTTGCTGCAAGAGACCTGGTCGAAAACCGGTTCCTGATCAGACTTGTACCGGACATGGCACTGCCGAAATTTTATCTAGAACTGCAAAGTAAGAACCTTAAAATCTTTGCCCCGGTATTGGATGCGTGCATATCTCGGGACAGGTTGCCCGCATTGATGTCAGAAGGATTAAGGTTAATCCCGCTGTTAGTTTTTATCGAGGAAGATAGAGACCTCCTCAGTCAGATGTGGGTGCAAGGGGTATTAGACGCTGAGTTCTTGGCAAAACTGAATGAGAAGTTGCCTAGGAATAAACGACTAGAATCCATATATCTGAAGAACCTATTGCCACAAAAATGGCCAGCGAACACAATTGCGGCTCCCTTCTCGAGATCTGGAACGAGAACATCCCACTCAAATGGGCTGACTCGTCCCTCGCCTCATATCTAATTAGGTAAGCAGGAGAATAGAATGGAGGGATAAATTAATTGTCGCCTCCTGGAATCTCAGGGGATTGGGGGATACATCGAGGACAGGGAAAATAGCCCACTCGAAGTCATGCATTCATCATCACAAGGCACAAATCATCTGCATCCAGGAAAGTAAACTGAATGAGGAAAAAATACAGAATTTGGGTATCTGGTAGGACGGCCCACAAATCTGGTCCTCGACCACGGGAGCAAGGGGGGGAGTAGGTATCCTTATACATAGAGACCTACCTATAGCGATCTTGGATCATGGTGTGGATTTATGGGGCCGTTGGGCATGGGTGAAGCTATCCGCAAATGGCGTCGAATGGGTGGTCATAACCGTGTACGCTCTGGTTGAGAGGTCAGATCGTCGGGTGTTCTTCGAGGATCTGATCTTTCACACCCAAATGTGGACAATATTCTGGTCACAAGGGACTGGAATTTCTTCCTGGACGATTTACACGCCCACACATCAGCCCCCACAGATGTACTCGCACTCACATACTACATGCTCGAACTAGAGGTATGCGATGCGTTCAAGATCATGCATCCCACGACACGAGGATTCACATGGTGTTCGTCGGCGGCGAAAGGGAGATCTCCAGGTGTATTTAGGAGGCTGGACTATTTGTTAACAAGTGCAGCCTGGTGGGAGGCCCTCTTAAGTATTGAAGTAGTTAATTATCCGACGTCAGACCACCTCCCGGTAAAAGCGACGTTCCAATTAGAAGAGGTCATCAATAGAGGGAAGGGTTTTTTTTCGCTTGAACACTCAACATCTCAGACACCCCAGGATCTCGGAATGGGCTGATAGGTTCTTCAGACAATGGCCGGAGGCCCAAAGACTCTTCCCATCCATAAGGAATTGGTGGGATGTTGGTACCTTAATTGCCTCTAATTTTTTTGGCGTGTTTTCTAGAATTTCATATGCAGAGGGCAAAAATGAAGAGCGGAAGATCATCGAGGACTTGGAATGGGTCGAGAACCAAATGCAGGTGCACCCAATCTCCACGGCTATATGGAAGGCCGAGCGGGTCAAACTTCTTAATGAATGAAAAGAACCACAACAAAAGAAATTTGATGAATGGGTGGAAAGGTATGACTAAAGAATCATTCCAGCGCTTACTACCGCGGAGAGTCTGTCAGGCCATGAAACTACTGCACCATCCATTCATCCCAGAGGCAAGGCAGATAGACACTTCAAAGGCCATGTGCAAGTACGCGGTTTTGTACTTCAAATATATCCTCACATCACGAAGGTCTGAGGAACATCCGGACACAAATCTGGTAGATAGATCAGAGCACTGGGACAACACTACGATAAAACTTACTCACGCAGGCAGGCTTAACCTCGAGAGGCCCATCTCGTCAGAAGAAGTGTCAGATATTGTTAAGCATATGGCAAAAGGCAAGGCCCCAAACACGGATGGCCTACGAGTTGAAGTGTACCAACAACATGGTGACGTTCTCACCCCCCACCTGGTTAGAATTTTCAACGAAGCTCTCCCAGGACGTCGCCTGTCCCCGGGCATGGCACATGGGATCAGCACGGTCATGTACAAGAAGGGTGATAAAGCCGATATTAGGAATTGGTGGCCCATCTCGCTGTTGAATGCGTCTTATAAAATTTTAGCTAAGCTTCTAGCAAGAAGGTTAGGTAGGCTCCTTCCGGATCTGGTAGACAGGGATCAGGCAGCATTTGTTCAGGGTAGATCCATTTTCGATAATATGGTAACAACGATCGAAGTCTTGGAGCAGGTGCAGCAAGAGAATCTGGATGTCGTGGTGCTACTGTTGGGTCTGGAAAAGGCTTATGACCGAGTGAACTGGGCTTACGTCCTGACCACGCTGAGGAAACTGAATTTTGGGCCTAATTTCTGCAGATGGATTCGTGTCCTGTAAATCCTCTCAACAACCTCAATCTCGATCAATGGCCAGGAATCTGGATGTCGCGGTGCTACTGTTGGGTCTGGAAAAGGCTTATGACCGAGTGAACTGGGCTTACGTCCTGACCACGCTGAGGAAACTGAATTTTGGGCCTAATTTCTGCAGATGGGTTCGTGTCCTGTAAATCCTCTCAACAACCTCAATCTCGATCAATGGCCATATCTCTGCACCCTTCGCCCTCTCTCGTTCGTTGAGACAAGGATACCCGCTGGCAACCCCGCTTTTTGTTGTGCAGCTAGAAATGTTAGTTATAAACATTAGAATGCATCCTCACATTAGGGGCCTGCCAATCCAACATCATGAGTGTCGGGTCAAGGCACTGGTGGACGACCTGATGGTCGTCTTAGAGAACTCGGTTCAATCGCTCAGTGCATTGAAGTCCTGTCTGTCAGAGTACGCGGCTTTGTCGGAAGCAGCCGTGAATTGGAATAAATCAGTATTTTTCCTTCCGGACAGATACGCGATCACGATGGAATGGGGGATGAAGTAGGTAGACTATGGCAACACAGAACGATACTTAGGAGTTTAGACTGCACTTAGCAAATGCGCAGACGCCCCGAATGATTTACTCCAGCAGAAAATTGTGCTCAGAATCGCGGTATGGGGCCCAGCCCAGCACCTAGCTCTGTTCGGAAGAGCACTAGTCACAAATGTGGCTTTGTTCTAGGCAAGCAGTTGTTGAAAGTGGTTCGTAGAGCAGCAACTAGATTCATCTGGAAACCGTACGGTAAGGCTGATGTAGGTTTTATCTCAAAGATTGCATGCGACCTTATTTGTTGCGACCGCGCTGAGGGTGGACTCGACATCCTGGAGCCGGATCAACAAAATAGTGCATTGCGAGCAAAATGGGTTACCAGAGTGGTCAGCAACAAATCAGAAGACCATTGGGTGTTGCTTGCTGAACAACTTCTGGCAGAGGATTGGAAGTTGTCAAGAGCCAATGACGTATGGACGTGCTGCATGCTGGACTCCTTCTTGAGAAGACGAGTGAAATCCGAATTCTGGAAGGGAGTTTTTCAAGCTTAGAGAAAAGTTGCCCCCACACATGGACTGCCCCCACCACAAGGGGTGAGGTGCTCTCACAACCACTATTCGACAATCCGGCTATCATTGCACCAAATGGAAGACCTTTCTGAGCCGGTTGTGCGAGGGAAGCCTTCAACCGAGCCTGGATCGAGAGGGGTATCCTCCGCGTGGCAGATATTTGGAACGCATACACGGGGCAGTGGTGCGCCCTTTTAGAGTTGGAAGATAAACTTGGAAGACTCAGATAGATTGGACCTAGATTTGCCCAGTTACTGGATGCCATACCATAGGTCTGGCATCATATTCTCAGCCCATAGGGCGTGCCCCCCCTGCCACCTGGTTCAGAATGTACTCAGAAGTCCTCGAGGGATCAGGAGAGCAACCAGAGGTGTTCTGGAAGCTGCTAAACATTGATGAGGAAGGAGGCAGATCTTTCGAGGCATGGACGAAGCAAGCAGATTCACGACCGCTGCAGCAGATCGAAGTCGAAGAAGCACAGAGTGAAGGTGAAAGACCATTGGGCAACCTAGTGCAACCGATTATTCGAGAAAGGTGTAACGAGGAGGGTACTTGGTCGTACTCTCTTTGGGCTAATGACAGTTCGGACACTGAAGCTAGATCCACATATGTGGTCATGGAGGGGAGGCCAAACCGTCTCACAGGCCAGTTGTGTGACGGACTACACATCGGCTATGGGTTACAGCCTTATGCAGCCGAACAATACCCGTCAAATGCTGGCACTCAGTAGGTGGTCCCAAGATACTACCTCTGCGGAAGAATACACTCTCACCTGCTGCTAGGAACCGCTACACTCGGCACCAATGCCAAGAGCCACAGCCCTGTTGTGGCTTCTCACAATATTAGCCACCCCATTTGCGGTGTGGCTGACAGAGAGAGGGTTGAAGATCCCGCTACATTGCTGCATATGTAAATAGATCTTTGAATCCACTTCGCACCTCTGGCTTTCATGCCAATTGTAGGCTCGCATTTGGGACTGGTGGAGAAGCCATTGGGAACGCATCAGTGGCCCAGCCTTCCCC